CTTTATACTTTTTAGTTAATCTTCTAGAGAATACTAACTTAAATTTAACTTTAAGTAATTAATCAAATCAGTTGCAAAGATGAATGTAATGTATGATATTCCATAGAGTGTGGTGGCTGAGCGGGCTGGGCGGCGGACTTTGTGTGCTAGCGATTAGGTGCCTGACTCTAAGGGTGTTGGTTCGAATCCCGAATGGGACTCAATCCAACAGAAGTACTAGACTCTGTACTTTACTAAGAAAGTGTAATCCCAAATATAATATATGTTATATTTGACCACTTTCTAAATAGCATTGTGCAATCACAGAGATTAATATGGTTCTTTGACAATACTCTTTTTGAATTATTTTATTTACATGATTGGTCGTGTAATGATCAATACCCTGAACAAAGTTTAATTGGTGAAATTTTTAATTAAAATAATTTGAATTTTAACAAATATTGACTAATTATGAAAACATTTCTAATGTTTCTACAAATTACTAATGCACAAGTACCATAAAAGGTTGTTACCAACAGGCCAAGTTCAAGGCCGTGTAATCAGAATACTGCCAGGGGGGTAACCCTTCTTTCAGGAGCTGTGAATCATTAATGTGCAACTATTTTTCCAAAATTGTTTTTATTCTTAACAAGCACATCCTTGGGGTCATGTTGATATATAGTTCTTGTATTCACCAAGTATGTTGAAGCACTCTCCTATTTCTAGAGGCCCTACAGATTTCGGCCCACGGCCTATAAGGTCACAAATTGCATCAAAAGACACACAACGTCAACAACCCAAATCATGTGCAATAACTATCAGGTTACTCAATGAATCATTATTTGATGAATTTAATGTTATTGTTATATTTACTAAGAAAAATAGCTTTAATATTTTTCTATTTAAAGGACACAAGGACGTGTGGCCCAATCGGCTTTCGCTTGGTTGCGTACAGTAGGCACGACAGATACCTATAACTGTAGTAGGTTCGAATCCCAGTTCACGACAATTACGTTGTTATGTTTGTCAACACCATACCCTCCCTCGTCTGTTTTACCAAAGTGGCAAAACATCTCAGAAACATGTTCACCTCTCCTCCTAAATTAAGCTGGCACGCTTATATTAAAGGAATACTGTTCAAAAGTGCATTTAAACTCAACTCACTCACTCACTCACTCACTCAATGCCAGGTATTGCCCAGTTAACAAATTGGAGTTCTATTTACTACACGAACAAGTCAAACCTGATTTACAGTTTTAACAGGGACACACGATCGTGTAGCACTTGTTAGATAAGTAACGGGAATCTAATTTAGAAAATCAATATAATAAGAGAACGTCGAGTTAATCTCCCCCAACGACGTCTTGGAAAACAGTAATGAAAATATCCGAGAATAGACGTCATGCATGTCGAAAACCTTCAAATGTATGGATTTTTTTACAGACTCAGAAAGGTTAATATTTCCTCTAGCCTAATGATTAAAGCGTTCGCTCGTCTCGCCAAATACCCGGGTTCGATTCCCCACATGGACACAATGTGTGAGACCCATTAGTGGTGTCCCCCGCCGTGATATTGCTGGAGTATTGCTAAAAGCGGCGTAAACTAAACTCACTCACTCACTCACTCACTTATAGGGTCAGGGTCTCGAAGCACAATACAATGTTAGCGTTACCACGACCGTAAGTCCATGTTAAGGTATGGGAGTTACGAACACCTTAGCGCTATGATTGCTTTGCGCAAGTGGGCCCAGGGACGTCTATTTGCAAATTTGCTTTTTACTGTATTTGTAAAGTGTAATTGTTGACTTCGTGGACTATTGCTTCACCTTGGGTTTAATGTAGGGTCGCTATTACAAGTACATATCTACACAAGTCACACATATACATCACTGAGCCACTAATTTCAGTCACAGACTTACTTAACTCCCTACATGCGTGATGTTTGTAATTAGCGAGTCCTTATTACCAGACACGCGATCTTTATTACCTTGTATGTTTCGGAATATGGTGCCATATAGTAATGACTTTCCCTATAACATTTTACGAGCATTATTAGCTGCCGTGCAAGAGAAATTATACACTTGCAAAAAAATATTGGACCAAACGTGTACAACAAAATGTTACTCAGTTGGAAACAATTGCAGATAGGTTTCGTTCAGGTACATAACACAATTGTGACTGACTGACTGAGTTTGGTTTTACGCCGCTTTTAGCTATATTCCAGCAACATCACGGCGGGGGACACCAGAAATTGGCTTCACACATTGTACCCATGTGGGGATTCGAACTCGGGTCTTCGGCGTGACGAGCCAACGATTTAACCATTAGGCTACCCCACCGCCCCACACAATTATAATATGAGTGAGTGAGACAGTTAGTGAATGAATCTGTGAGTGAGTCAGTCAGTGAGTTAGTTAGTGAGTCAGCGAGTGAGTCATCTTCAGAGTGGACCGGGGATTCGAACCTACAGGTGTTAGCGTGTCCAAGCGACACCAGCCTGTGCAGCTCAGACCACGTCTCCGACATGTGACCTAATGCTACGACATATTAAAGGACATGTCAAGGTGTTATGTTTTGGGAAGTCCCATCTTTTTCTGATATGTTATATGACTAGTACAGTAATCTGAACTTCGGACTCGCAGGGAGGAAGTCCGCTTTGAACAGGTTTTCGGGTATATCAAGGCGTAATTTGGGAGTAATCCCGATAGTTGTCTCGAATACAACATGAAGAGGTAGTTCTTGCCTGTCTCACTTGTCTTACAATCAAACATGGTTTTCAACATCTTTTGTTCCAGCTATTTATACTTATATCGTAGCACATTGCACTGCACATCGTCATTATGTATGAACCGGTATATTTAAGTTGGAAGTGCATGTAATGTTTCATGATAATACATGAAATATATCATGTAATATGACCCTTGCTGCGTGTTTCGTTTTCTCTGCATTGACATATGAGTGAGTGAGTGTAGTTTTACTCACTCAGCAATTTTTACAGCTATATGGCGGTGGTCTGTAAATAATCGAGTCTGGATCAGACAATCCAGTGATCAACATCATGAGCATCGATCTACGCAATTGGGATACGATGACATGGGTTAATCCAGACAGCGAGCCTGACCACCCGATCCCGTTAGCCGTCTCTTATGACAAGCATGGGTTGTTGAAGATCAATTCTAACCCGGATTTTCACGGGTTGCATTGACCTATGAAAGTGCGTAGAGGAAAAAGCACATATTGATTGCAAATGTTGCTCTTAACTCATAAATTCATATCTTCAAAGCAGTTTAGATGAACATGGTCAGGAATAAACAATGTGTCGAGTATATAAAAATATATGACAGTCAAATACCGTTGTGTCGAATTTCGATGAGTCGAACACACGGTTGTGTTGAGGTAAATGAGTCATCCGTAATGAGTCATCATTTTGTGGTTGTGTCGAACTTCGGATAACTCGAAGGCCCCTTCGACTTTAACGTTTTTTGACTGTTTACAATTATACATATACAACATGTCGAACGAGTCAGAAGGGAATTAGGCTGTTAGCTGTGTCACCTGGGTGATTGCATGTCGTCATTCTCATCACGTGGCGTGGACCGATGCTCATGCTATCAAGCATAGATTTGCTGACTCGACATTTACAGATTGTCGTGGTATAACATACTGCTCCAACATTGTGTATAACCTGGACCTGTCAACTCTCAGGGCTCAGATACCAGGTCAACATTGGGTAGATACTGAACCTGTCAACTCGCAGGGCTCAGATACCAGGTCAACATTGTGTATAACCTGGACCTGTCAACTCTCAGGGCTCAGATACCAGGTCAACATTGTGTATAACCTGGACCTGTCAACTCTCAGGGCTCAGATACCAGGTCATCGTGTCACACGGATAATTACAGACTGTTGTGGTATAACATACTGCTCCAACATTGTGTATAACCTGGACCTGTCAACTCTCAGGGCTCAGATACCAGGTCAACACTGTGTATAACCTGGACCTGTCAACTCTCAGGGCTCAGATACCAGGTCAACATTGGGTAGATACTGAACCTGTCAACTCGCAGGGCTCAGATACCAGGTCAACACTGTGTATAACCTGGACCTGTCAACTCTCAGGGCTCAGATACCAGGTCAACATTGTGTATAACCTGGACCTGTCAACTCTCAGGGCTCAGATACCAGGTCATCGTGTCACACGGATAATTACAGACTGTTGTGGTATAACATACTGCTCCAACATTGTGCATAACCTGGACCTGTCAACTCTCAGGGCTCAGATACCAGGTCAACACTGTGTATAACCTGGACCTGTCAACTCTCAGGGCTCAGATACCAGGTCAACATTGTGTATAACCTGGACCTGTCAACTCTCAGGGCTCAGATACCAGGTCAACACTGTGTATAACCTGGACCTGTCAACTCTCAGGGCTCAGATACCAGGTCAGCATTGGGTAGATACTGAACCTGTCAACTCGCAGGGCTCAGATACCAGGTCATCGTGCCACACGGACATTTATGGCTGTATGTAATCAGGTGCATGGTGAGGGTTATACGGTGCAAAGCAAAACCTTTCTGTACTCTGGAGATAGCTAAATGCAAATGGTTAAGAATACTTATCTTATATGTTTGTGTGATAACACATACACTGTAATAAAAGGATGATGATGATGATGATGATTATGATGATGATGATGATGATGATGATGATGATGATTTTCAGCGCCTGCATTGTTCAGGAAGCAATATTTATTTAACAACAAATTCAATGCAGTAGAAAGTAAACCAAAAACAAAAGTAAACAAAAACAAATTGCTGGTACAACTTGTACTGAATATAAATTTTATTCAACCGAAATATGTGTTATTTATATGGGTTAGGTATGTTTTAATTACAAAATTGACACAGAACTATGTCCCGTGTGTATGTAACTAAGATGTCGTGTGATCCACGAACTAACCTCAAACCTCAACATATAAATAATCATATCTGCCTCTCAGGTGTAAATTAGCTTTCACTCACCTGTAGCCTGTTGCACGAGGTGCCTCAACCACGTGTTGCCCGACCCAGGGAAACTAGCCAGAGCAGTTAACGGCATCGGGGTGGGGGAAAACCCAATCGTCTTGCACGTGTAGCTCCCGCGTCGCAGGTGAGCTAGAAAGAACGGTCCATGATGGGAAATCCACGGCGACGGAGACCGAGACAGATAGTACAGGCACACGATGTTAATTACGACGATGTATACAACGACACACACCACCGAAGACTTGAGACGCCGATAGAATCGCCGGAAGGTGTTCATCATCTTTCGGTGGCAACACCTTCACTCCTGTCATCATCTTCTTGGAGTCTGAGAGACGGCGTCCGATCAGTGTTCCACAGCTTTTAGTGTTCCTTGTTCACATTCCGTATATCGAGCCGACTGTAACGTGCTGGTCTGCACTGTGAGCTGTAGATTGCCTTGTACAGATATCTAGATAGATAGCAGCCCTCGCTTGGTCGTCCGGCCTCGATCTAAATCATTATCACTGTACTTACATGCAACTGTAGTGTACACAGACGTATGCACATTCACGGGTTATGTCGGTATCGACTGAGGCGAGGGTTTTCACGATTTTCGTTGAACCGTCTCGGGCAGTTACCGTATTTAGTCTGGTGGAGAATTATGTATTGCTGGATTGCCCTCACGTTGAATACGGGTGAGTGAGCGAGAGAGTGAGTGAGTGGGTGGTGGGTGAGTGAGTGAGTGAGTGAGTGAGTGAGTGAGTCCTGAGTGAGTGATGGAGTGAGTGAGTAAATGGGTGAGTGAGTGATGTGGGTGAGTGAGTGAGTTTAGTTTTACGCCGCGCTCAGCAATATCCCAGCTATAAGGCGGCAGTCTGTAAATAATCGAGTCTGGACTAAACAATCCAGTGATCAACAACATGAGCATGGATGTGCGCAACTGGGAACCGATGACATGTGTCAACCAAGTCAGCGAGCCTGACCACCCGATCCCGTTAGTCGCCTCTTACGACAAGCATGGACTGCTGCAGATCAATTCTAGCCCGGATCTTCACGGGTCACTTGGCGAATGTGGTATTCGAAAGCACAAGTATACATTTCTGTCGCGCCTAAGGGACGCAACTCTAGATCTGTACTTGAGACGCCAAAGTGACCAGTAAGGGTAGATAACTATGTAAAGCTACAAAACACTTAACTCAGCTACTCAAGTACTCAGGTGATCGATTGTACAGCGGATCAATCGCCATGGTTACTAAATCGTTGTACATCAGGTATGTTTTCCATCTCCAAACGTGTAAGAAAAAACAAATCAGTGCAAACATGTATGTACAAGAAATACAAAATATTTTTATTGACATGAAAAATTAACTTTTTCGTAGTTTATAATAGTTTTGTATTTCCTTGGTTACATTCTGTATATAATTTCCGATTGTTGATCGCATGAAGGACGTGTATAGAACTTGAGGTGACACCTGAATCTTTGGTCGTTTGAATTTGCCGTACGCGTTTGATACCATGCACACGAGTTCCGGGTCACTGACGCGCATGTCCAGGAAGTTGAACAGCCTTCTGGTTTCATTGAGCATGTTGGTCTGGAGGTCTCGGTACTGCATAATGAGGAGTGGCCCATCGAATTTCAGCCAATCAGTGTTCATGTCCACCCACCCACGTTACTGGAGAGAGACGTACGTTTGCCAATAAATTTAAATCAATGGTGGAACCAAATCTCGTTTACATGGATACTCGTCACTAACATCTTGTAAACCCTTAATTGCCAGCTCTTTACCTGCCAAAAATACCACCAGTGTCATCGTTATTACGTCAGAGGGCCACCCGATTATGTTGCTGTAAGCTGATTTGAGAGAGGAGAGTCTGGCGTGGCGTCTCAACACGGTGAGCCACGGATATACAGACAGTACTTCACCTCTTCACAGCCATGTGTATAGCTGTTTGTTCTGCCACAGACTAACGCTGGTTCTAGTCCACTGAGATACCAAGCTGCTGTTCACGATAGGTACCCCATTCAGACTCCGTGTGGTAATTCAGAATCCACAGGTCCACTAAATTCTTTGAGAGGCATTTAGAAGTTGGAGTAGTAAGGAAGGATCCATAAATGGTCATACTTCGTGGCAAAACCGTTGTTTTATTCCCTTAAGGCCAGACTTGGTAGCATGTGGCATATTTCTTCTTTCTGGACTTTACACACTCCTGGCAGACGCTCTGTCCACAAGTCTACTGGGGCTGTCTGACTCCCAAAGTCCCACAAAGGTATCTCATTAAACACAACTGGTTGTACGACACTTCAGATGAGTTCCTAAGGTCTCGACAAGATTTCTAATTGAAAGAAGTACAGTGATGACTTGACTGGGCTACTGTCTCCCTAAACGAGAATACAGGCGGTGGCTGAGATCTTGGAGGCTGACTAAACAACCCATTCATTCATTCATTCATTCATTCATTCATTCATTCGGTGGGTCATTTGTTCTCACTTTTGCCAAATGAAAAATGTGCAGTTAACCGGTTGAAAGCTTTGAAGAAAACGTGTCATATGAGTAAAATATACATACCATCCAAAATATTTTCTATTTGATCCCGATTGATGGATAACCCGATGATTAAAGCAGGCAATGGGTAAGTCCCAGGTTCGATTCTTGAATGGGTACGGTGGTTGTAAACCCTGATGTTTGTCGGATAACCCATGCCCGTCCTTAACCTACCTTTGGAAAAATCATGTGGAAGGGCATGACCTCTTTGACCCCCATTACGCCGGTTGAACTCCGCCAGGAGGGAGTCGAAGGGGTCCCGGATGAGGAGCACGGCACGGGAGAACGCCCGGCGATGTTCACTCCCCCACTCGTGGGTCTTCACCATCACCACCCGGCCGTCTCTCACCCCCTCCCCGGGGAAGCCATGCTGCTTCAGTGTGACGTCATTGTACACACTGCCGGTTGCAATACCTGCAAGGTGAAGGTCAAAATGAAAACAATTTCCCATGCAATAGTGATCATTTTAGACGCACCCAATACCCTACCGTTACCACTGTTCATAACAACAGCGAGTGAGTGAGTGAGAGCGCGTGCACGTTTCCATTATGTAACAGGTAAATAATCTGCAGCGGGACGACGATAAATTTACATGACAGTTGGTTTGTCTCCAAATTACCATTTTTTAGTTAAAACAGGTACAACTAGCCAGTTCCAGTGGCAGAGGGATTGGTGATATCATTTGATTGTGATGTCATGGCAACGATCTGCACAGAACTGTGATTCATTTCCACTGAAATCTCCGAGACATTAGCGTGATCTCACTCAAACAATATCTCCTGTGGAATTCAGCTGTTTACATTTTGTTCTGGAATGTTCATTATAGGCATATAAGAGAGACATTATTTACATGTTTTGTTTTGTACCGATAGAACACGTTGACATTTGTCAAACAGGGTCACGGTGATACCAGAATACAGCTCTTGTTGTGTTTGCTATTGATCTTTCGCATGATAGCGTCCTTGACGTCGAGGGTCAAGGCCAACGCGTTTAAACTCAATGAGGTTATTTAGAAGGTCATTTATTTCGTGATTTACCTCGGAGACGTGATCCCGGGCGTCTGAAATACATTGTGAAGGAAGAAACGCATATTTTGACTTGATGCAAAGATAACGGAAACCCTTGTCATCAGCTCCATCGATTCCATGGCCGATTTCAATTTTAGGAGATAGAACGAAGACCGAGGGCGTGGGACGCGTTTATTGTACATCCTCCGACACCCTTATCCTTATATATTGAGTGGGGAGATCACTGGAATGATATTTATTCATAGATTTTGCATGATGATGTGGTTCTCATGTCGTCTTTATTGTGATCTAAGCCTGGGGGCCATTGGTTGTATGCACACACGTCCATTAAACGTACTCCAAGGCGTGGTAAGAGACAGTGAGATTCCATATCAAAGATGTTTCCATTCTTCAAATAAACCTTGCCGATGGCTGCCTTTCGTCCACAACTAGCGTTCGATTAAGTGTCGGGCCGAACCAGCTGGAGATCTGTCGTTGGGTGATGCTTCAGATTCAGATATCATACGCGTATGAACTGGGGGGTTGGGGAGCTGCCCCCCAGAAAAAATAGGAAAGCTGGAAATATTTTTAGGGACCATAATAGAGAATTAAACACAAATTCAAGCCTCTGGTAACGTTGAAAAAGTAACATGATCAAAAAACATTTTTCCGCTAATGATAGAATCCAAATTTTTTAATTCATGTCACCCAAAAGTGAAAGTAGAGGCAGTCAGGCTGTTATTAACAGCCAACATGGATTCGAATCAGCGGTAAGTTGACAACATACATTGACATTACAGTGTAGTCTATACAGTAACATTTAGTTTACAGTAATAGCCATATTTTAAGTATAATAGGTGCTGTTTGATTTATTTATTGAAGATCTAAACAATAACAATAAGACACGATTTCAAACTCATACATTGGCAGTGAGGGAGCTGGTTTTATCTGAAAGCCGAATTCATGTATGAAATAAGAATGGCTGCATTATTATATCCCCGCTACGACGTAGTCGCTGGTATATAGCGCTCCGCCCGTGTGTCCGTGCGTCCGTGCGTCCGTGCGTCCGGAATGGTTTCTCTGAGCATAACTAAAAAACTATACCTCTTACAAACTTCAAATTTGGCATGGAACTTACCCTTATGGTGCTATTGTGGATTTTGGCTTTCGATTGCATGATGCCAAAATTGAAAGTTTTCCTAAAATATTATTTTGGTATTCAATAATGGTATTGAAGGCGATCAGACTATAAGCGGGGGCCTTGTTATTGAATGTAATTATAATATATTTATACTATAAAACTATTGTTTTTCAGTACCCTATTGTTCTATTTGTCAGCACCCAAAATATGATTAACAATTAAGAAAAAATGACAGTGACTCCAATTTTGTAGATATTTAAGACCAAATATAAAGAGAATAAGTTATTATAAAGACCTTCTTGTGAAGTATTCTAAAGCTGCAGACAAGGGCTGGGACACTCTTTGTGGAGAAATTGCAAAGTCAAACACTTACAAATTTGAACTGGATTTAAATCATTTGCGAAACTATAGCAATATGCAATTCAGTATTGATCATGTTGCTAGAATGTTTTATCCAGATGATGCTCCTACACATCTTACCCCAGTCAGATGTTATGGAGATGGAAACTGTTTTTTGGAGGTCAGCCTCTCAACTCTGCTTTGGTTTTGAAGATTATTATACTGAACTTCGAGTGAGAGGTGTTTTTGATCTTATCATCAATGAAGAACATTACTTAAATGAATCAAAACTGATAAGTGTTTCTGAAGCCAAAGGTAACGGATCACTGTTACAGTATATTTGACGTCATCCGAAAGTCAGTCTGCAGAGGGTGACAACATGCAGCGTTACAGACATTTAGTGATGAAAACAACAAGAAATGGAGAATATTCATCAGTTTTACACATGTTTAGTTTGCCAAGTGTTCTGAAACGACCAGTTCAATTTATCTATCCCAAAATCCAATATGTGGCTACAAACAGACATGTACTTAATCAAACAATACACCCTCTGAATGATGCGGAGGAGGAACCTGTCTGCATCATGTGGACACATTGTACAAACACAAATAATAAGAGCTGGTCACCAAATCATTTTGTTGCTTGTTTGGATACTGCGAAAAAACATGTTGATGCTGACTTGGCAGAAAGTGACCAAAAAAGAAACAAAAGAAACAGAGGACGTTGGATTTTATGTTTTCAGTTCAGAGCAAGAAGCAATCTCAAAGTGAGACAAAACCATCAGAATTTCCCCGGACACAAGACTCTCAGTCTCATATAAACCCAGTTCCAGACATCATCAGTGAAAGCAAGAGTAAGGATGTTTCAATGGAGAGTTCTCTGACATCTGAGCCCTAATCATCGCCCGGCAGTGATGAAGATGAACGTCAACATGTGTGCAATTCACCTTGTTGTTCTGAAATTAGTGAACCTTATCAGCCAAATGCTGCATCAACCTTGAAAAAGATAACTACAAAACCTTGGAGATCATTCTCGTTTCATGAATATCCTTGGCTTACTCTGTGTACAACAAGAAACAAAGTTTTCTGCTTTTATTGTAGACTGGCTTACGGTAAGGACAGTGATCTGCAGAAGCATCTTACCTCCAGACAACCTGAAGCAACATTCATATCAGAAGGTTTCAACAATTGGAAAAAGTCTGGAGATAAATTCAAAATGCATGATAAGAGTTCATATCACAGAGATGCCCTTGCAAAACACAAGAAACATGGTAATGACAGTGTCACAAGTTTACTTCTGGCAAAAGTTACTAAGGAACAGCAGTGCAGACGAAACCTTCTGCTTGTGCAGCTGTCATGTCTCTTATTCTTATCAAGGCAAGGATTAGCACTTCGAGGGCATATTGAAGAGGAATCGAACTTGTTTCAGCTTCTGAAACTGACAGGTTCTGACATAGAGGGGTTGCCAACATGGTTATCTGAGAAAACATATATGTCTCCTGCAATTGTGAATGAGCAATTGATGCTCCTGGGCCGAGCTGTGCGACTGAAGATTCTTGAGAGAATCAAAGCTGACAGGTTCTTTGCCGTTATGGCGGATGAAACAAGAGACATATCAAACAAAGAACAAGTTGTCATATGTATCCGTTGGGTGGATAATGATTTCAGTGTCCATGAGGATGCTATTGGCCTATATGTGGTTCCCTCCACAACATCAGCAACACTAACAGAAGTACTAAAAGACACACTTATCCGTTGTGACTTACCACTATCGAATTGCCGAGGTCAAGGCTATGATGGTGCAAGTAATTTTCAAGGCCATGTCAATGTAGTTGCTGTCCAACTGCAAAGAGAAGAACCACGAGCAGTTCATGTCCATTGCCTCGCCCACTGTATCAACTTGGCTTTGCAGGAAGCCACTAGAGCATGCAAACCTCTCAGGGATGCTCTTGACATCACAATTGAAGTGAACAAGCTCATTAAATATTCTCCAAAACGAGAACACCTATTCAAGAATCTTCAAAAAGCTCCATCCATTGAGAAGCGTCTTGACATGGATGTGCCTCAAACTGAAAGAACTCGTGGCTTACGACCTCTGTGTCCAACACGTTGGACAGTTAGAACAGGATCTATCAACTCTGTTTTGGAGAACTTTGATACTCTTCGAAAAGCATTTGAAGAAATCAATAAGGGTCACGATGAGTATGCCAGGATTGCAGGTGGTTTACTTTCACAGTTTGACCAGTTTAGTGTGTTTTTTTGGCTGAAAGTTTCTTCCCAAATTTTTGCTGCATCAGAGCAATTGTCTTCGTCCATTCAAAGCGTAGAAACAACGGCAAAGGACGCACAAAAGGGAGCAGAGCAAGTACTGGCGTATTATGATAAGCTGAGGAGTACAGATACTTTTTCAGAGTTCTACAAGTCTGTTGTTGATGAAGCTGAAGACAAAACTGATCCTCCACGTCTACCACGCTACCGGAAGAGGCCCAAGAGATTGGATGATGGATCTAATACTCACACGTTTCCTTCTGTGGAAGATTATTATCGCCAACAATATTTTGAAGGTCTAGACATCGTTTCAGAGCAACTAAAGCGGAGATTCTCACAGAAAGGATTTAACACTGCTGTGGAGATAGAGCTACTGTTGCTGTCTGCTGCAAATGGACGGAACTTTCAAATATCTTCTCACATCAGAGAACTCTACAAAGATGATGTTGACTTTGTTCGATTGAACACACAGCTTTCCATGCTTCATGACACAGTGAAATCTGTCTCCACTGAAAGTGGATGCTTAATCATTGAAGTCACAAATATTGATACTGTTGTATCAATTATCAACTCATCGCCTGTAATAAGGCACCTGTTCAAGGAGATAAGTACCCTTTTGAAGATCTGCTTGACTATTCCTGTCACCACAGCAACATCAGAACGTACCTTCTCCGCGCTTCAACGCCTGAAGTCATACGTCAGATCTACAATGACACAGGAACGTCTGAACAACGTTCTGCTACTGCATGTTCACAAAACCATTGCTGATGAACTATCTCTAGTGGATGTTGCCCGGGAGTTCATTTCTTTCAATGACAGAAGACGCAACTACTTTGGACTTTTCTCATAAGAGCTGAACATTTTGCGAGATGCATTAGCCTGTATAAACAGTCGATCTAGTGTTACCTGAATAATGTAATGCATTTGCTGTTAATTAAAGTTTCAAGTGAACTTGTCTGTCCTTTTCATATATCTCCTCTCTCCACCCCATCCCGCCGTTATCAATTTTGAAATCTTGCCCCCCCCAAAAAAACCCAACAACCACAAAAAAAACCAACAAAAAAACAAAAACCCAAACTTTTAAACTGTTCCTATGCCTATGGATATTCTGCTAGTGTAAGCATGACATTTGAACCTGAAGAGTGTATTGAATAAGGTTTAATGGATAAGGTTCCGTGTTTACCAGAATTGATGTCATGGGATGTAGCGTGCAATATGGTAATATAAATGTGGGTCTGAAACATCTGTCAATATATCATTGAATTTGTAAGACGAATAACGATAAACGAGATAGAGGAAGTTTGTTTTTCATTATTCGACATTAGTAGACAGAATGACAGTCCTGGATCAAGGTAGCTAAAGCTTTATTACATAGATAAAGCTTTAGTCGGATACCTTATTTTTACTGTCATTACCTGTACAGAAAGCCTTATTTCCTAAATAATGCTTTAGTTGGATCAAGCTATGAAAACGTTTATTTGATCAAATATCCTCTATGTCGTGTTGACGGGAGGTAGCATTGTGTCATACGGTACGATTAATAATTCTTCTCTCACAAACCCTCTGCCGGGGCCATCCCTCAAGTAGTTCGTTTTATCTATGTCCACGTGCCGCTATGTCACGTTGACCTCAATGAAACAGTTTAACGTGAATCGCCTAGGATCTCTTTGGTGTTCGTAATAAAAGCTTGCTGGGCCCTTTTTCACCCCTTGTTCTATGTACTTTTTTTTCTCGTCCTCGCTGATAGCAGCAGACTTACGAGACTTGGATCGAATCTCTTGTTTCATTTTGTTATATTTTGTGAGTTCAGAGAGGATTGAACGAAACTCCTCCTCCGAGATTTTGTTGTCAGTGAGTGCCGTAGAAATACGCTCACTCACCGTGTTAAGCTTTGCTTCAGCTAGAACCCCGATCTCATTATGCTTCAATGCTTTACGATGCAGTCTGCGGGATACAAGCTTAAGCCCCAACCCCAACACCCCTGTCACCCCAGCTGTTATTTCGAGCCCCATCACTATAGGTGCGGCCACGATGGTAGCTAACAACCCAACACCTGCCACCCCTAGGCCCATGCTGGCTGCCATAAGGGTAGTATCAGTCCCGTCCACGGCATTGAAAGCTCTATGGTACTTCTTATATAGTGCTTTCCGCTTGTCGCGGTCTTGTTCTAGTTGACGTTTTACATCGCATAACTGCCTCAAGCGGAACCCGTCTACGGTTTCCAGGGTCTTCGCTACTTCATCTATGCCTGGGTACAGTCCCATCCTATAATATATATTACTAAAGATAATTTAATTGGGTTTCAGTTAATAGCCGATCTAGTTTCCAACTAGTGTTCTGGTACTAGTTCAGGGATATAGCTCAACCCCATAATATATTTTAATTGGGTTGTATTTAACCTTCGATTAATGTACTTAAAGCCGATAATACTTAGATCAGCGTACGTGTAAAAAAGCGGGGTCTTAGCTCTACGCCCATTAAAGAGACGAACCCCCTCAAGACTTGGTACAGGTTTATTTCCCGATACCTTAATAATACGGCAACGTTGGTTACTAGCCCTGTCTTCCCACCGTATCAACATATCATCTATAATGTTACGATGCCCAGGAAACGAGGTATCTCCGAGATAGACGTCTATGATGAATGTGAAGTTTTCCGCTACATTTCTAAAGACCTCTTGGTGCTTAAGTAAGCTGATTGATGTCTTAACTTTCTCCTTGGAAGTTACCATGTTGCCCGAGTGGTTTGGTATTGGTGCGATATATATATTAGATTCATAAACTAACTCTCCTGCTGCTAATATACTGTTGCGGTTCGGAACGAACGCTCCTATAATTATGCCGTTGTTCTTAATCTCGGAGACAGTACCATCTTGTCTCAAGGTGATATAAGGTGCGGTGAGGGTTAAGTTGATTAACCATTCAGGCTCTTTAAAATCTGATAGCGGCACCCGCCTATACACGTTGTCTTTGAAGTGCAGGATGTATAAGGCGTCTTCCTCACCAGGCTGATCGAATCCCTCCGTGTGTCCCCTAGATCATTAAGTGTTTTGTTGGGTCGAAGCCAAGACATTGCTATAATACTATTACGATATAATTTCCAACTGGTTTTCTGATAATAGTTCAGGGGTGCACTTCACCCCCATGAAGTGTATGTTGTCGGGTAGGAATATCTTGGTTAGTGATATAGTGTCTTCCACGACCACGGTGACACCCTGCAGACTGGTTTTGGAGTCGACACCCACCCGCACGTAAACGTTGCAAACGTGATACTGTTGTTGTTTCCCCCACCGGAGTTTGACCCCCTTCACGATCTCTACATCATCCCGCGATGGTTCCCCTAGGTAGACTTGGATGATCAGTGTTGAGTTCGCCGGTAGACTCTCCAGGATCCTGACCACGCCTTCGAATTCAGCCACCAACTGCAATACCACGTTTTGCATGCCCGCTTTACTCGATAGCATGTGGGCTGACATACTGGCGAGTGGGCTGATGACTACGCTACGTCTCTGAGTCGGGATGTAAGCCACGAGCAGGGTTCCGTTGTTCACGACTTTGTTTAGGTGGTTGTCTTTGTTATCCGTGAACACGTAGGGGGAGCCGAGCCTAATATTGAGAAACCAGTCGACTTTATCTGGTAATAACACCCACTTATCATCATCGGTGAAGACAAGCGTATATGGTTTGTTTCGGGCGACGGTAGTGCTCTCAACATCGGTTAAGTCGAACAGTTTGCCCCCGAACGATGGGTATATCATCCAGTTATCATCACCGGTGTTGACAAGGGTGTACTTAGTGTTGACTACCGCTCTTGAGGTATCTACTATATCACTTAGGTTGCTAGTACCACCGGAGGACTTCAACGCGTTTGTAAATGCTGTTTTTAAGTTGCAAGGCGTACAATTTACCATCTACTCCGGGGTCGTCGAATCCGCGTGTGTCCCCGAGGTCGGAGATCCCCACATTGATGCATTTTTTCAACTTCATTCCGGGACCTTGTGCGCTGGTCATTTTATGTGCAGCGTTACGCTGAGGTATCCTATATTCACGAGATTATGATTTATATCTAACACCGATATTATCAGCTCAGGGATGTTGCCCTGGGTTAACCTCTTATACTGCCGCGGTGAAAACGACTCGGTTCTACCGTCGTTGTATTTCTCCGTTTTCACCGGTACGGCTCTCAGTATAGTGGAAGGGTGACCCCCTTGAATGTTGTCCGTTGTGCTAACCTGGCTGAGATGAATGCACAGCTCTCGGTACGGTACTAAGTCGGGTAACTTAGTGCCTGTGACGGTAGTCGTTGGTTTTATCTCGTCAGGTGATATACCGAGTGTCCTCGCCAATGGTCGGCTGAGTCTTAAGGGGTTTCTTCCGTTGTTGATTAACACCACTGTACCGTTTGAGTCGTTCATCTTGAGTTCGGCTCCCAATGGTTTGAAGACCTCGTCGCTTAGTGAACACACGCTGTAGTAGCCTTCAGTTATCTGATTGCGGGTGCCACTAACGGTCAGTTTATTGTTGCTAGCGTTGATGTTAGTCCATCGTGGTAGGTAGGTGATATCGCACAGTGCGACTTCGAGTTGACCCGACGTGTTATCGATCGCGTGCGTCAGCTGAACGGCCTCGCCGCTCGTTATTCCTGGAAGTGTTATGTACATGTTAGAGTATATAAACTCATTATATAATAGTTTTAAAACATGAAGATCGTGGTCGCTGATGGGTTGTATTTCAACACCCAGTTCATAGATGTGTTCGGCCAGTATAAGTTTTCGGTGACTAACGCTAAGGTAGTTCACGCTTGGTTCAACAACCCGATGCAGTTCTGGCAGAATCAACTCAACTTCGCCGTGTGGTGCGCTACAACGGGGTGTGGTGTGGCATTGACCGACACTCGGCGTGGCCCACTGAGTCAGTCTGTGTTCACGTTTCACGTGTACTACCAGGTCAGGCGTATCCTCAAAGAGATCAGCGCCCCGCTCCCACAAGAAAAGGCGTGGAATGCAGTAAACAACCAGTACGATAGACGGGCCTACGAACGTATTTGCAACGAATTCGAACTAAACACGAAGACGGATTGGCGTTTGCCGGGACCGAACCACGGGTTGGGTATCCCCATCGTTCACAATATGCCCCTCGTGGAAGCCAGCGAGAAGTTGAAAGAATGGGGATACAAGTCGTATCATATCACAACAAACGAGTGGGATGACCGTTACATGGCTTTCGACAACAGCAAGGATTACAGAGTCTGGAGGTTCGAGCAGGGGGGTGACTGGAAAAAGTTCATGCTGGACACGTCGAAAGGGTTTACTCGTGCCGGGGTAATCAGGTTGAACGACTCGATTCGAACGTACGTGTGGGCGCTGTTGGGTGCGCAGACGCAAACGCGTTCCAATATCCTAGGTAAGGGGACTGCTTACGACGGCTCAGAAACAGTTCGTTGTCACGTTGAGGATGCTATCAATGCTCCAGTTGATCTCCCGAGTGCCATCAAACGCTACCAAGACGTGTTGGAATATGCCAGGTCGAAAGTCGACTACGTGTTCGACGTGGGACTGTACATGGCTCCGAGTGATATGCAACTGAGAGTAAAAAAAGTGGTGGGCTACAACAACGAAATAGTTATAGCCACGGCGGGTCAAAAGTTGGGCGTCAACCTCGATGTCAACGTCCCCCACGTCCCACCACCCACGACCGGTGAAACGGGTATAGTAGCGCCACCCCCGGAGCCTAGGGTTCAACACACACACCTACAGCCCCAGCCTGCAGCCTCCAATCAGCAGCACATCGATCGTAAAACAGCCATGGTGGTTGGTGGGGTAGCTTTGGGGCTCATTTGGTTTAAAATTCC